TGGTGCCGGTTTTCAGTCTGGCCCTCCAGCCCTGGCATCACCTGGCTCCGCGGGCCGGGCTTCCTTGCCCTGCGAGGTGGCAGAAATCTCTCGGAGGTGGCCCTGCTGTCCCGGCATATTTGAAACATCACCTCAGAACTCCTTGGAAAGGAAAATTCTCCTCTTTCCCAGATTCCTGCCTCAGGAACACTGACGAGCCCAGACAGCAGGTTGCGAATACTCCAAGGCTCCACTCTCCAGGCTCTGCAGATGGAGAGGGTGCAGGCATTCCCAGGCTCTCCCTCCCCGGAGAGGGTCCGGCATCAGAATCTCACTCTACTTCCTCCTCTCGGAACCTGGGTTTTTTCTCTGCCTCAGAAGACACTCCCTCTACCCTGAGATTTTAGCTTCAGAGACACCTAGAATTATCGTAATGGATTTAATTTTTCATTTTAAAGTGGGATGTACTCGCATCAGGTGACTGGTCCAGAGCACCCCAGGGAGCAAGGACCTCTCGCCATTTTCAGGGTCTGAAGCTCAAGTTTTCCGCAGCTCCGCCTCCGTGCTGTCACGTCTCTCCTTTGATGACAGTCACAGGCTACCACAGATTTCCAGGCAGAGGCAAGTGCTCATGCATTAGCGCCAATCTCTTAACATGATGAGGTGTGTTATCATTCCCATTTCACAGGGGAGGAGGCTCCAGTGGGGAGACATGACGTGTCTCAAAACCTGCCATTTATTAAGCACCTACTCTGTGTCAAGTGGGTTTGTTTGTTTGTTTAATTATTGATTTGAAAGAGAGGAAGAGTGAGGAATATCAATGTGTTGTTCCACTTATTTATGCACCCATTGGTTGGTTTTGTATGTGCCCTCACGGGGACCAAACCTCAACCCGGGCGTTTTCGGAAGCTGCTCCAATCAACTGAGCTACATGGCCAGGGCCCAAGTGTGCTATGTAAGCTCGACTCCTTAGATATCCTCCACGGACGGTGTTAGCAGAGCATTTTTCTGATAAGACTGAGGCTCAGGACTTGAGTGACTCACCCAGGGTCTTGGTGCAGCAGAACAAAATCTGAACTGAGGTCTGGTTTCCAAGGCTCCCTCCAAGGCAGCTGCTTGTTCCACTAAAACAATGCATGCGCCTTTAAGAGGAGGAAATGGGGCTAATGCCAGTCACACTCACTTCACTATTACCATGAAAATCAAGTCAGATTCTGGACGTGGAATGCCATGATGCTAAACCATGAAGTTAATACACATAGCTCCAAATTAGGAACCCAAACACCTGCTTCAGTTCTAAAACCCTGTTCAATTTGGCAAATCGTTTAATCTCCTCAGATCCACTTCCTCAGCACTAAAATGAAAGAACTGACCTGAGTGACTTTTAATTCTGCCCTGCTCTGAAATTCAATTTCTAGATAAAGTATCATATACATAAATGATTGGAAAACACCTTTCAACTTTATCTTGACTTTTGATTTAGCATCTCACTTATTTTCCAGTTCCCTTGCAAAGTTTATCTTTTGGCATCCTCAGATCTTTTTAGACACTGTAATAACTTCCAATAAAACAATACGTTATAGAGGATGCAAACCACAGCTTTGAGAACTGTCTGCAAGCTTAAGTTTTAAATGTGCAAAATATTTTGGGATGTATATCCCTTCAACTGTTGTAATGTACCCCGCGAATCACAGAAGGACGCCTCAAGAAGTCGAATTAAAGAGTCACATTGATTGCAATCCGGGACTATGAGGGGCCATTCCCCAAATCTCATAGTCATAAGATGGTGGCAAAACCAGACTTATATAGGCAAAGATCACAAGGGTATTGATTACATCTCAAGATTTGGAATGAGGAACCTGGTTTGCAAAAAAGCAGTTTTGTAAGGGGAATGCCTTACAATCAATAAGGCATTCAATCGAATGGGATGACTTATACAATTTAGAAAATCAAAGTAACCTGTCCATTGTTAAACAAAGCAAATAGGTACCATACTTCACCACAAAAGATGAAAGAGAAGTAGGTAAGATTTTTCAATAAATCAACTACTAGAGATTAGATCATAACACAACTAGATTCCGTTTAAACTAAAACTGTTACTTTACTGTAGGTACAAGTGCAGAGGAAATGTACTTGAAGGTTAGTCTTGCTATTTCCTCATTCTCTGATCTTGAGCAAATTACCCCATGCCTGTTTTCTCATTTGGAAAAAAAAAGCATTCCAGTACTGTGCATCTCAGAGGGCTGTTCCGAGGAACTAGCAATCTATATAAATGCAGTATCTGGCACACAGCCAAAGTCTAACTAATATTTGGACGTTGTCACCAGCGTTCTTAGTTATTTTTATACGTGAGCAGGTTAATTCGAGAATTATTTCAGGGAACAAATCCACAAGTGCCTACTGTTAGACAGACCCCCAGAGCGAGGACGATGAGCTAAGTATGGAAACGCACTAAGGCAAAAAGCCCCGGAAGCCAGATGCTGAGCAAGGGGCAAAACTGGGAAAACAAGAACTTCGTCCCCAGGGTGACCTCTCCTCGGCTAGCATATCACAGGTCATGTGGTTTGGACCCGGCTCTTTCAAAACCCCTGAGACCTTTTCCTCTCTAGGCCTCAGTTGTATTTCAGTCCAAGCCAAGAAAAGCAGCAAAATCAGGCAAGTGACACTGTGGCTGCCTCAGGACCAGCTTTTACCTCCCAAGTCAGTCCCTCCACATTGTGTCCTCAGCCGTGGGTAATGATTGGCATGTGCTACGGACTGTTTTTCCTACATCCCTTCTTAGCAGGAGACAGAATTCTACTCAAAACGTGGAAAACCGCCCTGACCGGTTTAGCTCAGTGGATAGAGCGTTGGCCTGCAACTGAAAGGTCCCAGGTTCGATTCCGGTCAAGGGCATGTACCTTGGTTGCAGACACATCCCCAGTAGGAGGTGTGCAGAGGTGGCTGATCGATGTTTCTCTCTCATGGATGTTTCTAACTCTCTATCCCTCTCCCTTCCTCTCTGTAAAAAATCAATACAATATATTAAAAAAAAAAACCACGTGGAAAACCGATCATAAGACGATCAACATGGCGGGACCCTGGGACGTGCTTCTCACCACTTGCTCTGAGTCCCTGGATCCATCACACCAGAGTGAAGGGGACCCCAGAAGGGGAAGAATGGGTGACTGAACCCAGGAACACCTCAGGAGAACAGACCTTTACATCTTGCCTGGTAGGAGCTGGGACACCTGTTGCTAATATACAGAATTATACTCATTCTATTCATTTGGGGAAGAAAGTCACATGCGGGGACCTTTATGTGTTGGAACCCACTGTCCGGGAAAAGGGCTGTGGACAAAAAAACAAGGCCACAGGCTAACCTGACAGCTCAGGGAGGCCTGCGTGGCGGTTTTGCAAACTCAAAGACCTAAAGTAACTATTAAGGATGGTCTAAAATTGAAACTTTAACTACAAGCAGTTTATAGTGGGTAGTCATGTCCTGGGCCAGTATCTTCCCTAGTAAAGGTCAATCTTTACCTTAACCGAGCCTATCTGTCTTTTTAAATCTAAGATAACATCCTTGTGAAAGGTCGGGGTAACTTGTAACTTCCCTTTTTCTGGACCCCTCAGAGCATAACCAAGGACAGAAACCATAAATTCCTTTAGTGTTGTTGTTATCATGTTAATAGTTGACTGTTACCTGTCCTGCACCCACCTAAGTAAAAGAAGTATGTGTCTATCATTTTACTTTTTATCCAATCCCAGAGGTTCCCACCTCTCCCCCCTTTGCTTTCTCCCACCTCCCTAATCCATCACCAATGGAATTCATTTAACCCACCTAGGTCCCCTCCTTTGATTGCAATGTATAAAAATAGATGAAAAACCCACCATTCTCTGGAGCATTGTCCCAATCTGTTGAGATCCTGCTTCCCGGCAATTGTCGACAGTTTGGCTCAAATAAACTCACAAAAATTCTTTACAGGTTTGAATGTTTTTATGTTAACAAGATGCAGGATGTTTTCTCTAAAGGTTGCTGCAGTAGCTCCCTGTGGTGAACGTCTGCCTCCCCCCCCCCCCCACCTAGTTGTCTTTCAGTATCTAACAACCACAGTATGAACTATTATAATTTCACCCTCCCTTATAGTAATGGACATACTAAGCTGCCAACTGGTTGTTGTTTTTTTAAAACATATTTCAAGAAAAACAATTTTAAATATAATAATGTTAACTGGTTGGTTTCCGATATGTGGAGTAACTGTTTATTCAGATACCCGGTCAACAGCACCAGAGGGGAGGGCCTTGTTCCTTACACCCACGGACAGAAGGAGACCTCTGCCCCATTCCGTTAAGGATAATTATTAACAAACAGAAAGAGGAGAGAAATGTTAGGACCGTAGGGCAACAGGGTCCTTAACGGCCATTGGTCAGCTTCCCGCCACAGGAGACAGAGACCCAAAACAAAGCTTTCTAGACAGGGTCCTGAAGGCACCAGCTCGCGCGCCTGCATTCCAGCCCCCCCACCCCCGCCCCAGCCCCCCGGACAAGTCCCCGCAGGTGACTGCGCACAGAATGAAACTCCAGCGCCTGGGAGCTGCCATCGACCACCCAGGTCCCCTGGGCGGTGCTGGGCAGCCCCTGCCTTTCCCTAAACCCATTCCATTTCTCTCCAAGCACCTTTGCTTACCCTGCCCGCGGCCCTACACCCGGCTCACTTTCACCTACTATGTGCTACGCCCCGCACTAAAGTCCCGGGTCTTGCAGAAAATTAAAGCGGGATTAGGGGACAAACTAAGGAACACGTGGCCAGCATGAGACGCGCGTCACCGAGACGGAGGGGGACCTCCAGCCGCACTCTCCTCGCGTCGCAGCAGACACCTCGGTTCCCCGGCTGAACCCCGGAGCCCATCCTGCTGGCCCCGCCCTCCGGCCCCGCCCCGCCCGATTGGCCCCGCCCCGTCCCAGGAGCGCACGCGTGGCGCCCCGGGATGACACGCTCAGCCCTGCCCACACGTCACTTCCGGGACGCTTCCTGCGCGGGGCCTTGTGGGTAGCTGGCCGGGTCCGGGCGACGGTGATGGCGGGGGACGTGGGCGGGCGCCGCTGCCCGGACTCGGAGCTGCTGCTGCACCCGGAGTTGCTGTCCCGGGAGTTCCTGCTGCTCACGCTGGAGCAGGTCGGCGCCGGGGCCGCGGGGGCGGGGGCCGGAGTGCTCTGGCGGGAGCGCTCCCGCCGTCTGGGCAGCTCGGTGCTGGCCCACCTGGTTTCCCTGCCCCCCCCCGAAAGGAGACGTCCTCGCACATCAGGAACCCCTGGGGGTTGGGACTTACCTTTTGGGGTTCATGATGGCTCGCAAAGAGGGGTCCTCGGTGACCCTCGCGGCCTGTACGGGAGCAAAGAAGAGGGGCCGAGCGAGGGTCGTGGGGGGACGGAAACGGGGACGTGGTCGGGGACAGGGGATCACCGCACGCGCACCCCGGTTGCAGACGAGGTCGCAGGGGTGAACTGCCTCCTTTCGGGCCACCCCGTCGTGATTGCGGTGCAGGATCAGCCTGGAGGATAATTCGGGGTTCTGCGCTCTCGGTGTAGCGTTTGCTCTTTCTCAGCTAATGTGGCCGCTCATAGGCGAAAAAGAAGACACAAAGTGATAAATTTTGTGTAACGTGGTAGAGAATTACTGGACGTTTCCTTGGGGTTTTATGTATAGCACCTTGTTTTCCTTGTGGCCCCTGAGCCCTCCGTGCTGTATGTATAAGCTCATCAAGCTTTAGCTCAGCCGGTCATCTTAGTGGTGTCAGTTACCTGTTGCGTCTTTTCTCAAACCTCTTAGGCACATCAGAGTCACCCAGGACTGGTTAAAACACACATTTTGCGGGACTCATCCCCTCTGTGTCGGAGTCAGTAGTTCTGAGATGTGGCCTGAAAGTCTGCGTGTGTTTTTTTTAGTAAGTTCTCGCTTCTAGTTCAGGGACCACAGCACCGCTGCCCCTAAGCAGGGCCTCCCGGTCTAACCTGCCATGGTTCTGCGGGACACTGTCTAGGGGACCCTCTGGGTTCCCACTTGTCTCCGAGTGAGTGCAGGTGCAAGTTGATGATAACGGCCCATCTGGTATAAGACAGAAGAGGAGCAAAATTGTGCTTTTAAGTTTTTAAGGGGAAAAAAGGATTGGGAAAAGTTTCAGAGGACATAGATTGGATGTGTTTAGTCAGTTCTAAGCACAGTGTTCCCAGAATGGTAGGCGAGCCGTGACCACATCTCCATTCCGGTTTCCTTCGCTGTTCTCCTCATCGATGAGGATGGTGTCAGCGGAGGCGCCCCTGTTGCCTGGCATGTTGGCTGAACACTGGACAGTAGGGCTTGTCCCACGGAGGACATGTGGCCATTGCCTGTCATAGGAGGCTGGACCTAGTATTTACAGAGCTTGACCTACTTATAATACCACTTTTTTCAGTATTATAAAGGACCCTTAAGCATGTGCCTAATTGTAGCAATGGTTTTATAATTTGTTATTTAAGCAGTAGTGTTCTGCCCTGTTAGGCAGGTAGTTGGTTAGTTGTTAAAAGAAGGATGTTGTTTTGAACTTATTTTTGTTTCCTTTTCCACAGAAGAACATAGCTGTTGAAAGTGATGTAAGAATAAACAAAGACAATCTTACTGATCTGTATGTTCAGCATGCAATACCATTGCCTCAGAGAGATTTGCCAAAGAATAGATGGGGGAAAATGATGGAAAAGAAAAGAGAGCGACATGAGCCAAAAAACGAGACTAAAAGGTACTTTTCAATGCTTCTGGTTTTCATCTTCTATGACTAAACAATTTTGCTTTTTTTTCTTTCTCCCTAGGTAAATTTAGGTAAAAAAAATTCCATTTATTCAACAACTATTTATTGAGCACCAGGCACTGTACATATACCATGAATAAAACTGACAAAATTTCCTGCTCATATTTTAATATGAAGAAACATGATAAAAAATTAAGGAAAATATATTGTATGTTACATCATGACAGAAGAAAAAGCAGTGAGAGGATTTACAGTTTTATTTATTTTTTTTAAAAAATATATTTTTATTGATTTCAGAGAGGAAGGGAGAGGAAGAGAGAGATAGAAACATCAATGATGAGAGGGAATCCTTGATTGGCTGCCTCCTGCACGTTGGACCGAGCCAGCAACCCAGGCATGTGCCCTTGACTGGAATTGAACCTGGGACCCTTGAGTCCGCAGGCTGACGCTCTATCCACTGAAGCAAACCGGCTAGGGGGGATTTACAGTTTTAATTAAAGTGGCCAGGAACAACCTCACTGAGAAATGCCATTTCAGTAGAGAGACCTAGCAAGTAGCGAGTAAGCTAGCGTTCCAAGCAGAATACAATAATTGGGGTCAGGAGTGTGCCCACAAACAGCAAAGAGACCACCAGGCTGGGTGGAGAGACTCAGAGGGAGAGGGGGCGAGGTTGACTGCGTGATGGAGGTTGTCAGATCACGTAAAGCTTTGCAAGTCATTGTGAGAACTGCAGCCGGACTATTGAGAGGAGAAGCCAATGGAGGGTTTCAAGCAGAGCGGTGACACCATCTGAAGTCCGTTTTAACAGGGTCATGCTGGCTGCCATATTGGGAGGTGACTTAAGGTGGGGAGGGACAGGGAAAGCAGTTAGCAGACTGCAGTGATCCAGGCAGCAGCTGGTGGTGACGGTGAGGTGGTCGTGGACTTGATGAGACGTGGTTGGGTCTGGATGTATTCTAGAGGTAGAGCCAGAGCCAATGTGTGCTGAATTGTGAGAAAAAATAGAATCAAGACTCGAATAAGGTCTTTGAATAACACAGAAATGGAGAGCTCACACAGCTTCAGGGACACTATTTCACATTTTTAAATTTCAGAAAATTGTTTATAGAACCACAAGCAAATGAATTTCCCTTTTAAAGGTACATGTGATTATTCAGTATAGTTGATTAGTTAATGAGGACTAAGTACCCAGAGAGCCCTAAGGGAGCTAGTTGTTTCTTTTCCTGTGTCACTTGTATGGCAAGTGGGTGTTGTTGATTACTGAGTCTCCTCTGGGAGCCTTCTGTTTGTAAGGTGCTGTCATGGGCAGTGCGGTAGCGATGGAGTGAGGGAGAATGCTAATTCTGATTCCAGGTTCTAATCTCTAGTTGTGAAGGATGCAGAAAAACTCATGGCCGGTAGGGAGGTTGTTCTCCGAGGAGTAGAAGAGTGAAGATTGGGGCATGCGTGCTCAGTGTCTTTTGGAAAGTAAATGAGCGTACAGCCCCACTTTGGATCAGGAACACGTTCAGTTCAGATCGAGCATCATTTTAGCTCGATGGTTGCGTGTTGGTCAGGTCGTGTATTAGTGTCAACTTTCAGAAATCTGGATTATGCTGTGCATATCTTTAATTGACTTCTGTTAAGTCTTACTTCGAAAGTATTTTCTTCTTTATCTGCACATTCAGGCCCGTTGTCCTAGGCAGAGCTTTCAATCCTGACGTACTGTACTTCATGTGACGGCTTCTTTTAGTCCCTCAGAGTCACTTTGGAAAGGATCTGTGGCTCTATTTTTAAAAATCACAGTTTGACTCCTGTCTCAGAGCATTAAAGCTGGAAGGATCTACTAGGTCACCGAACATTATTGAGCCGCCTGCTGGTTCATCTCTGGAGGATCGAAGCTCTGGAGAGGTGCTGAGACATGCCTGGTCCCACCGACTGGACCAGGGCTTTACTGCTGCGCTTCTCAGACCCGAAGGTGCCCCTTGCCTCTCAGATTGAACTCTCACAGCCGATGCACCTGCTCACAGTCCTGTTTCCCTCCTGCAGTGGCAGTGGATTATAATGAGTTTATTTTTCATCTTCTGCCAAATGATTGTCAGTGGTGAATTTGGCAATCACCTGGGATCTGGTTAAAAGGCAGATTCTGAATTTTTTACAAGCTCCCAAGATACTACCGATGCTACTGATCCCTGGACCACACTTTGAGTGGCAGGCTGGAGAGTTCTTCCTGCTAAGTGTGTTTAATTAAAAGGTTTTTATCGTAAATCTGTTGTTTGAGGTATAAAGAATAATGACCAAATGAAATGCTTTTATTATCTTATGATTAAGAGTGGAAATTAGATTTTCAGAAGCTAAATATGAAAACTTGCTAAATTTTAAAATGAAAATCATACAGATGTTACAGTTCCAGTTATTTTAGAAAATGCCTTGGCTTAAGCGACCTTAATGAAGGAGCAGAATGTTCCATATCGTCGTATGTAGATTGCCGCTATGGTCGTCTTGGTATAGTTTTGTAGTTTATTATCCTTTCTAAATAGTAATACATGGTCAAGATAACCCTACTAATAAGATGGTGATTTTTAAAAATTAAAAGAATTTTTAGTTACTAGAAAATTCTGTTTTACTTTTTGGGGTAGTTGGTCAATTGATGTTTTAAAAATAACTCTCTTGTGTGTACAATAACACTCTTTAAATTTCATGTCAACAAATATTTAAACTTTAAAGCACCAGAATTTGTTACTTCATTTACAATGTCAAAGAAAATTTCTTTTCCAGTGGTCCTACTTACAATAGATTTGTCTTATCAGTAAATTTTTTTGGTCATTGTTTGTTTTAACTTACATTCTAGTAACTGCTTTGCCATTGCAGATGGCATCTTTCATGAAAGTGTCTCTTTGATTTCAGGAGTAGCACTGTAGACGTGTCAAAGAAAAGACCTCTCATTGTGTTCGATGGAAGTTCAACAAGCACAAGCATAAAAGTGAGAAAGACAGAGAATGGGGATAATGATCGACTCAAGCCTCCCTCTCAGGCAAGCTTTACCAGTAATGCCTTTCGAAAAGTATCCAGTTCCTCCTCAAGTGTGTCACCCCTAATTCTGTCTTCCAATTTGCCTATGAACAATAAAACGGAACACAATAATAATGACACTAAGCAGAACCATGACTTAGCACATGGGAAAAGTCCTCTGGGCCCCGCGAAGCTGCCGCCTTTGTCCCCAGTGGGAACTACTCCAGTGAAGCTGAAGCGAGCTGCTCTGAGAGAAGAAGCCGAGGCCGTGGTGAGTGGCGGTTTCCACGGGCATGCGAGGGGTGTGAGGTCTCTGAGCAGTCACTGCTGCAGGCTGGTCCTTAGCCCTCATGTGATCTGTCAGACTTTTACATCTCATTTCTCATAAATCCATCATGGTAAACTGATGCTTTTTAAGAAGTACACTCAGTTTTTTTTTTCTGCTTAAAATGTGTAAAGAGAGAGTCTCTTAGACACTTATCCTAGATTTTTCTCATTTAGATCCTTTAAGTATCTTGCATCTAAAAGAAAGAAACACTCTTTTTTAAAAATTTATTTTTATTGATTTCAGAGGGGAAGGGAGAGGGAGAGTGATAGAAACATCAGTGATAAGAGAATGATTGATCGGCTGCCTCCTGCACACCCCCCACAGGGAATCAAGCCCGCAACCCAGGCATGTGTCCTTGACCAGAATCGAACCCATGACTATCAGTCCTCATGCCGACGCTCTATCCACTGAGCCAAACTGGCCAGGGCAGAAAGAAATCCTCTTGTTAGCAAGGCTCAGCATGTTAGATAATTTGTGCAGGTCACATTTCAGTAGCATGGGAGAGCTTGGTCTTTGTTTTGCACTTAACTTAAGCCACACTAGAGTCTAGGACTTACCACTTGCCTCCCCTGCCCCTTGAATGTCCCTGTCCTTGGAGGGTAGAGGACATTTGGAGGAATCTAAGTTGTGTTCTACTGCACTTAAGCATTTTAGATGCTGGCAAATTGGATACAATTACGCAGTTTACTTAGAGTTTAATTTATGAGATTTATGTAAACATCCAGCGGTTTTATAACCTTGTTCATCTCAGACTGCTATAACAAAAATACCATTGATGGGATGGCTCAAGCAACAAGCAGTTATTTCCTACCGTCCTGGAGGCTGGGAAGTCCAAAATCAAAGCCCTGGCAGATTCAGTGTCTGGTGAGAGCCCACTTCCTGGTTCATAGCCAGTTGCTTGTCTGGGACCTCACATGGCCGAAGGGACAAGGCACCTTTCTGGGGTCCCTTTTTGTAAAAGCATCAATCCCGTTCATGAGGGCTCCATCCCATTAGCTAATCACCTCAGAGGCCCGCCTCCAAATATCACATTGGGGGTTAGGTTTTAGTACATGACTTCTGAGGGGACACAGACATTCAGTCTGTAGCACATTCCTGTAGTATATACTTGGGCTTTATTATCTTCAAATTGTGTGTCAAAGGGATCGAAACTCAGAGTAGTCCAGTCAAAAATAGTAGACGCTAGAAAAAGAAAGCTGCTGTGTATCCAACCAGCCCTAAATCCTTACATTAGTTCCTTGAATCCTTTTAGTAATCCTGTGATGTAGACACAATAGTTATTTCCATTTCACAGATGAGGAAACAGAAGGTTGGATAATTTAAATAAACTTGCCCAGGGTTCAGTTAGAATTCATGCCTGGCCCCAGACATGCACTTATGACACCAAGTTGCCTCCACATTAAATTCGGTCACCTTTGTAGGAAGGAGGGAGAGGGTGTCAGATAGGAGTGGGAAGAGGCATCCACCCTCACATATTACAGTAAGGAGTGAGCTTTAAGGAGTTTTTTTTTTTCGTTTTTGAGAAAACATTTTTCTACTCAAAAAACTTTTACTCTTTCAGAGGTGTGGTTTTAAAAATTTTTACTTATTTTTAATCTTCACCCAAGGATATGTTTTCTGTTAATTTTAGAGACAGAAAGGGAGAGAGAAACATCAATGAGTCGCCTCCTGTACATGCTCCGACTGGGAATCGAACCCACAACCTAGGTGTGTGCCCTGACCAGGAATCGAACCTGCCACCCTTTGGTGTGTGGGTCGATGCTCCAACCACCGGAGCTACCCGCTAGGCCAGTGATGGTGAACCTATGACACACGTGTCAGAGGTGACACGTGAACTCATTTTTTTGGTTGATTTTTCTTTGTTAAATGGCATCCTATATGATAAAAGCCTAATATGCTAAGTGTCCGGTTGATCAGTCGGCCTTTCAACCAATCAAAGTGTAATATGCTAACGATATGCTAAGGCTACTCAACCACTCACTATGTCATGCACTGACCACCAGGGGGCAGTCGATCAGTCGCTATGACATGCACTGACCACCAGGGGGTAGACACTCCAACCGGTAGATTAGTTTGCTGCTGGGGTCCAGCCAATCGACTGGGTGAGATAGGCTAGATATGCCCTGGAGCCCTCCCACAGTCCCTCCCCGGCCCCAATCGTGTGCCAGTGGGGTCTCTCAGTCTGGCCCGTCCCTCTCACAATCTGGGACCCCTTGGGGGATGTCAGAGAGCTGGTTTTGGCCTGACCCCACAGGCCAGGCAGAGGGACCCCACTGGTGCACAAATTTGTGCACCAGGCCTCTAGTTTAAATATATAAAATAAATATCAAAAATATACATCTTTGTTTTACTATGGTTGCACATATCAAAAAATTTCTATATGTGACACGGCACCAGAGTTAAGTTAGGGTTTTTCAAAATGCTGACAGGCAGAGCTCAAAAAGCTCGCCATCACTGCCTAGGCTCAGAGGTGTGATTTTGTGTGTTTTTTTTTAAATCTTATCTCCTGTTAAGATCTTGGATTGTGAGATTGAGGGAGGACATGGGCTCTGCAGGGGGGAAGCAGCTCAGGAGCAGTCAGTGGTCTCAACCCTGAGTATACCCTAGAGCAGCGGTTCTCAACCTGTGGGTCGCGATCCCTTTGGGGGTCAAACAACCCTGTCACGGGTCGCCTAAGACCATCAGAAAACACATACATAATTACATATTGTTTTTGTGATTAATCACTATGCTTTAATGATGTTCAATTTGTAACAATGAAATTGGGGGTCACCACAACATGAGGAGCTGTATTAAAGGGTTGTGGCATTAGGAAGGTTGAGAACCACTGCCCTAGAGCTTCAGAAAGTCAGAGGTCAGAGCCTCATCCCTGCTGCCTGTGGGTTCTCATCTAACTGGTCCTGGGATAAGGCCCAGGTCCGGGCATACTTGTAAGTACCCTGGGTGATCCTAAGGTGCACATGTTTGAGAACCACAGCTAGAAAAATGGGAGCCAAGCAGGCTTGCTCTGTTTCCTAATCTAAGATCTCTCCCACCAGATGGCAGCAGGGATCCATCATTTGTATGTTGGTAGTAAACCTTGGTGGTTTAAAAATAGTTCTTCCGGTTCTCTGACATTTTTGTAAGAATAAACTGGTTTCTGTTTATGGCATTTTAGGATAACCTGAAGCCACCAGAAACAAAGAGGAAGATACAGCACGTTACATGGCCATGAAGGAAAGTTTCCAAAAATGTAAATATAACTGTAGTTTTCAAACAGTTCACATATATTGACAGTATTTACAGAGAGCTTGATTATTTTGAAAATTTTCTAAAGTTTTAAAATTAGGTTCAAAAAAAAAGTCTCTCCCTCCCTGCTTTTCTCCCTCCCTTTGAAAGAAAAAAAATTGCCTTTTATTCTCTGATTAGGAAAGAATTTCTCTTTTTTAAAAAATATGTTTTTATTGATTTTAGAGAGAGAGGGAGAGAAAAACATCCATGTAAGAGAGAAACATCGATCGGCTGCCTCCTCTGCATGCCCCCCACTGGGGATCAAGCCTGCAGCTGGGCATGTGCCCTGGCCTGGAATTGAACCAGCAACCTTTCTTTGCACGGGTCGATGCCCAGCCAGCTGAGCCACACTAGCCAGGGCAGAAGGAATTTCTTTGTAAATGAATGGCTTACTATACGTTACTTATGTTGACAGTAGTCAAATCAGGAAGCTACAAGTCTGGTGTACCATAAAGCATCTGATGAATTTTAGGAATAATTCTCATTAATCTGTTTCAATCTTTGGAGAACTTAGAGATTTTTTTTTTAAAAAAACTCACATATTTTAGAAGTTCACAATTTTTCTTTTCCCAAGCAAAAGAATATAACAGTTCTCAGTATTTTAGTAAATACTGCCAGTTCAACCTTGAGGTTCACTGAGAAAAGCATATTTGCAGTGCTGCCAATACACTACTCAGAATATACAGATAAAATTGCTGTCCTCTAAGTGCTTGCAATTGCTTCTTCCTTTGAAGTCGTAGCAGAATTGTTTCTCATGAGTTGACTGCTCAGTGTTGCCCCAGGTCCACCCTTCAGGATATCTTGTCACAAAGCAGTCCTACCTCCTCTTTTCAGGAACAGTCTGACCTCACTCTGAGCTCAGGGATCTCCCTCCAGGAGCTTAATGAGGCCGACTTTAAAAATCTCCAGGTGAAGTCATCATATTAGAGGTGGTACCTGTTGGCAGAGAGTTCAGTGAACAGGAAGAGGAGGTAGAGTTGTAGAATTTAGGAGAGTCTGGGAGGATGGTGGTGAAGGGGAAACTCGGTGTGACCCAGATGGGCCAGCAGAGGAGGCACTGAAGTTGGAAGTGAGGACCCAGCGACAGCACGGAGGGTGCAGCATGGAGCGTGTCCACAGGGCCGTCCCGCAGGCATATCTCTGCGTGTGTGCCAAGTGGTCTTGTTCCAGCTGCATAACTGAGTCAGTGAGCAAACAGGTTATTCCTCACATTCGTGAGTCCCAGTGTTCACTTTCCTGCCGTGTGTTTCTAACCAAGTGCGAGAATTCTTGATACTCTCTCCCTTGTATGATTGATCTTCAAGTCAGGGTTTGCCTTTTCAGTACTTTTTACAACAGTCTCATTCCTCTTTCTAGTTTTAAAACACAAGCATTTGAATTCAGCTGTTGAATAGCCATAGGAAGAAGTAGTTCCACCGTGCAGGTGAACACTGTACTGGAACTTTAACCCTGTAGTTTCAGTCCTGCCTTCTCCAGACTGCATCTGTTCGCATGAGACAAAGTGGATACATACCGAGTTGCCTAAATTGTTAATGTTAGGGTAAATGATTAAATACGCATTGTCTGCGGGTCTGGTGTATTCCTCTGCATAACTGTTAAGGGACATTTTGAAAAGTGCAGATTTTAGGGTAGAATGACAAGTTATATTTATTCAGTTGTTCCTTCTGCTTTCATCTGCATTTCTCTCTTAGTTAAGAGAGAATTAGCCATTTGACAGTTTTAAGTCAGTAGAAACTTAATTTTCGTTACTCAAAAAATTAACTTTTAATTTGTATATTTAACTTCCAAAGTAGGTTGGTACTAACAGCTGAACTGTGTAACATTGTTGCTTCAAATTGAAGTTTATATTATGGACATTCAGAGTCAGCGCTCATATAGCAGCATGTTCTTGACCTACTTTGAGTTTGAAATGTGGAGGAGCTAAGCTGGGTACTGTGTGTCCCATACACCAACATCCTGGAGCGCTGTGCCTTCCTCCGGGCACAGACACAGCTAGCCCTCGGCGTCTCCACGTGCGCAGCGGCCTGCAGAGCCTGCCCACAGAGCCTGCCCGCGGAGCCTGCCCGCAGAGCC